AATGAAAATACAGGACTTAAAACAAAAACATAGCTTTGAACAAAACACCCCTTTCCCTTCTTTCACTTTCCTCCCATGAATTCCAACTGATGAGATTAATTACCTGCGCAAATGGCAGCATCAGTTAAAAACATGTTCAACGAGTATTCAATACATATCTGTAACACTACAGACATTCAGTCTTTCACAGAAGCTACTGTCATTTTAAATAAAGCATTTTTGGTACTGTAACTTTTTTTGTCTGTCATTTTGTTTAGTACATCATTTCAGAAAGAGGTTCAGTGACCTTAGGAAGTCCTGTACCTTTATATAGGCTTTTTTTTTCCTCCCCTTCCCCCTGGCTGATATAAGCAGAGGAACTTTGTTTCCTGTGCACAATAACACCTATCACTTCCACTGATGGAAGGAAAAGTCTACTTGCAATGAAAGGGAGATTTAAAAGCCATCAAAATCCTCAAGTGGAAGTTGCTGAGTAACTGCATGATGGTTTTTAATCATCAACTGACAACTAAATATTTAGGAACTATCACATTAAGAAACTTGGCTGGGTCAGATGACTGTTCAGCTCCATAGTGCACACAGCTAGGAATGTTTATAGGGCAATGGTTACAGTCCATGTCAGAAATCCTAAACAGAGTAGCATACCCATGCTCACTATATTTTCTTGGTTTAAGTGTTTGCTTACAAATGCAAATGACATTTCTATTCTACTCAAGTTCTTATACCAGACTCATCACTGCAGCAACTGAGCGTCTCCCAGTACCACAGTAATCGTGCAGGCCTTTTGTTCTCTCGGGCAGGGAGGGAAGCATGTATGTATCAGTGCATTGCTTTAATGCCAGCTTTCTGGTCTTACAAATCTCAGCTTTAATATTAAGAACTTTTCGCTGACACATCCAGCACAGTGTATACCCTCTGCAAATGTATTATGTTTCTGGTCAGAAAGCCCAATGGAAATTCTAAAGGCCTATAAATATATTTGGTCATAGCTCTATGAAATTGTTACAGACAAGTTACACTCCAGCTCGCCCCCTCGCCTCCAAAATCAGCTGTAAACGAAATTCACAATGCTGCCTAACAAAAAAACCCCCCAAAAAACCCCAAAACCAAACCAACCAACCAAACAACCCCCCCCTCCAAACCACTTAATGTGAATGTGACATGCAAATATTAAGACAGGACACCAGACTTCTTTTCTTTCCCCTTCCCACTGGGTGTTTTATTTTATAGCATTTGCATTAGGTAATCAACTGAAACACTTCAACAACAGAAAGCTGGCAGCATAGTAAGGAAAAATGGAGATTATTTTTCAAACAGCTGTGACAAAATGGTTTCGAGCTGGAATAGTATTGCACAAACGAATCAATTTACGGAGGGTGAGTGGGAGCGAGCATATTCAACATGGATTGTGAGGAAAAAAGGCACTATTTAGCTGTGTGTATGTTTAAAAATAAAAAAGTCGTGAAGCACAATCCATGTTTTTCAAAATTACATTCAGTACTGCTTTAGAAATGCTCACAAACCTGTCTCTTTTTACAGAAGCTACAGAAAGCTGCTGATGTAAATATCAGACAGTACAAGTGTATGAACATTTATAATTATGCTCCAGAAAAGTCTCAGGAAGAGGGCTTTTTCTATAAATACTGCTGCAAAGGTTGCATAGCTGCATAGGCTTACACTAAAGGAAGCATCCATGCAGCTAAGCAGCCTTAGTTTCCTTAAATTTAATCTCTAGTAGTCATAAAATATGCTCTAATTTTGAAGAGTTAAATTGGCAGTGCCCTTGAATCAGGCTTTTCCACTGACTGCTTATGCAGTACAGTTCAGACAGTGTCCTCCATATACCTTTTTGTCATATACATGTTTAGTAACGCCAGGTAAGCTTAATGGAATGTTCTAACAGAATTATAACAGAAAATAACTGAATTTTCCCTGATATAAAATAGAGCTGCTTTGAGACCATAAATAAACAAATGTTTATTCCTGGAAACTAAAAATAGCTAAGTATCTTCAGAAAAACTAAGTACCCAGAAAAGGCAATTGAAAGGACCAGGATGGGCTGCTTCTTCCTCTCCCGTATTTATAGCTATAAATTTTCATGCCTGTTTGTTTGAAAATGAAGCCATGATCAGCGTACCATTAATAGAGAGACTGCTTGAAAATCAACCCAGAGCAAGCGGGAATGTGCACATAGGACATTCTGCACCCTAGCCTTGTGTCTGCTTATAGATGCACTAACAAATAAAAGTGAAATTCTTGTTGCATGGCTGCAGAATTATGATGGGAAGGAGCTAAAAACACTGTTGCTCTCCTGTCAACACTGCCCAGCGTATCACAAGTGCTCCAGGCATGCTGTGGTTATGGCTATGTAGTTACCAGCGCAGCTGGACCTCGCGCCGCTAAGCTGACATCAAGAGCTTCAACAGGGCTACAGTTTTGCACAAGATCTGAGCATTAATTTTGTACAAAAAGTACAGAACAGTGTAACAAAACCTACTCTCACCTATATATATATATCAGCACCTTTCAAATGAACCTAGCCCTGCAAAAAGCCAGTCTCAATCCTGTGCAGAGACTACAGTGACTTCAGTTAAAAGATCTGTGTTCAGGAGGCTGCATAGGAAGTTTACTGATCGTACATCCTGCAACAACAAAAATCCATGTATTGCTGCTTTTCATTATAAGTTATTAAGGGAGAATACATAAGATACATTCTGTTTATATACTGTAAAATATTTTTAATACCAACAATTTGAATTGTTTCAATTTCTGAATAGAAGATGAATATAGCAGGTTATTAAAAATCTGTAAAGCTCCTTTTCATAAACTGTCTTTTAGGAAATTTAAGTTTGACAGTTCTGAATTCAAAGGATTCTAAAAAGTTCACAGTTGAATTTATGGTTGCACTACATATAAAAGTAGACAGTCTTGATTCCTTCTGTGTTACACAGACAATAACATTTTCAGAGTACATCTGGAATGAATACCTCTCCAACTGTAGCAAGGATTTTTTTAAAAGTATGCCTAAAATTCTTGTTTTTCTCAACCCCATCAGTTCACAGCAAAGAACAGGAAGTGATATCTGATTAAATAAAATGTGTTTTCTTATATGAAATACGAAAAATATATTGCTCTCTTAAAAGTAAAAAAAGTTGCATTGTTCTATTACTTTTGTTACTGAAGACTCGTAATTAGGAAATTCTAAACCCTGGAATGAAAAAAAAAAAAGGAAACAAACCTTTTTAAAGACTCTAATGAAATCAGTAGAAGTTTTGCCCATTTTTTTTCGTGTCAATACAGAAGCATTTGTCTACATACCTATTTCATTATGTAGATGAACATTTTATGTTTTCACTTAGTAAACTCTTCTGCTTTCTTAGAGGTGCTCTTCTGAAAATTCTGAATGAGACTCAAGAAGGCAGACTGATCCAAATTATTCTGAGGGAAAACAACACAGTCAAAATAAGATCTAACATAAAACTATAATGGAGTGGATAATCTTTTCAGGGATTGTAAATATTAATTTTCTTTTTAAAAGTTACTGCTTTGTTATGGACATTTTTAGATCTCCATTAGCTACTTCTTGCCTATGACTCCTGTTCATTTCTTTAGCTAGGAAACGTCTTCATGAGTGAACTAACACATCTTATTCCCAATCATGTTGGCATTATTAATGATGTCAATAGACAAGAATTAGAACAGGAAATCTAATGCATGGTTCATGCTATATAAATGGTAAGCTATCAGAAGGAACTTCCCTAATTATTTGGGAAGAACAAAGAGAGATCTATTTTTAAAATTCAAAGGGAAAAATCCAAGAAAACAAAGAAAATGCAAGATGTACTTGATAGTCTCTCATTATGCTCTCTGTAATTGGGCTGTTGCTTTTGGCTGCAGACATTCAGTTCACAGACCATTTTCCATTTCCTTTGTTTCCATTACAAGAACAAGCTGGTTAAAGAAACTCCACTTGGCAATTTTAAACTAAGCCTTCAGCATCATCCCTTAGGAATTTAAACCTTTACCACCATTCCTTACTTTGTCTTCTCAGTGCCTTGCCCCATCAAATCCTGTGAAAAGCACTTTAAGAAAAGGCAGGTGTAAGACGTGTAAATACTCAGATCTTTAAGAAAATTCAATAGGAAAAATTCTTGTAGTTCTCCACTGCCATTTGCTATAATGCAGTGGCCCCAAACATCTGTTCTCAAATTGGAATTTACTTGACCTACCAGGTGTTTCACATTGTTAATAATGGCAACTCACAAATTTACAATAGTCACATAAGGCAGTTACATAAATACAATTATGTCAATCAAGTTCACTGCATCTTTCTCAACCAGACTACACATGACATTTTTCTTCTTTTCCTCTTACCAGAATAAAAGGATGAAGACTACATTTCCGTAAAGAGAATCCCTGGACAACATTCTGGTATTGAAGTCAGAGAGGTCACTGAAGTGCATTTCAGCAAAGTCCAACAGTCAACTCAACCAGGAAGTAGATGTGATGTTTTTCATTTCACATATAACAGAACTGGTGCAAAAAACCCACTTTAAACTAGTTGCTTTAAACCTTTTGGTCCAAATACATAAAATAAGCAGTATTTACAGCATTTTACTTCTTTTGTAAATGCAATGCTTTAAAACACATTATAAAGCACCTTAGTAAAAATATTCTACAGGTAAAAGTATCGAAGTAGTAGGAAAACCCTAACCATACCACAGCTCACTAATGGAGTCATAATATGGATTCACCAATACCTCAGTTTACATTTATTACAAAGAATCCATGGAGAAACTTAATACTGAATTTATTATTTTTATACCATTGTGTAAGGATCAACTAGAACTGCAGACAATACCAACTTTCTTCATAGTTTTCCCAACCTCAGTCAGTGGCGGTGGGGATAAAAAAACCAAACCAAAACAAAACAAAAACTCCACTGCTCTGATTCTTTAACTTTTTACAATATTAACGTGGAAATGATGTTTTAACACTAATGATTAGTTGTAGTTTTTTAATCAAACCACATATATAAATACGGGCAATTCCAGCAGCAGCAGCATGTCTCAGCAGAACATGATTAACCATCCCAATTAATAACATGTGACATGACTCACAAAAACAAAGCACAGATGTCAATCAGTTATTAACACTACTCATATTGTATACAACCAAAATTTCTATGGTGAAAGCTGGGAAAAATTATTTCCTCTTCACAGAAGTATAAATGAAAATAAATTGCTCTGAAAATTAAAAAGAGCATCAACAGAAGCATTTTTTGTTTGTTTATATTTTCAACTAGAACTGCCGTGTACTAATTGCTCCGAATTAAAGTGTAGATTTCTTCAGGTAAAGGATATTACTCCCACTGAAAGTATTAGTTAGATAAAAGAAATGAAGCCTTTGCTTCTGGATTACCAACATAGTTTGCCAGTATCCAACACCCTGGAGGTTATCCACAGCCCCCTTTTCTCAGATCTATAAAGAAACGTCTTGGAGGTCTACGAGCAATCTGGTTTCCATGGCTGAGGACTAAGATGACAACGTGACCAAAGATTTGGGTCCGTAAATCTAACAGTACTGTTCTTAGTTTGATTTAGGGTAAATCTTTTCATAGAAAAAGTTCTGAGCCAGAATATACAATTCTCCATCTTTTTCCCGAACTGCATGTGCTCTGACAAACTGAAATTGCTCCAGTGCAAATTCATAGAACTCATTCTCCATTTTCCAGATTTCAGACTGTTGTAGCTTGGCAATAGTTTCTTTTGTAGGAAGTTTTTTCTCGGTTGTTTTCCTAAGATGAGACTTCTTTCCTAAATGAAAATTAAAGCAATAACTTCACTTTAAAGTTCATGTGATTAAAAAAATGTTTACAGTCCTTTTATTTACAGAGTTTTATACTCTCAGCATGTTGATAAACTGCATTAGAAGTGACAGAATTTAATCCAGAATTTATTAACATAACATGCAGGGCTGGAAAATTGCAGTCTCTCACTAAATGTTAATGAATTTTGCATCAGTTCTTTCAATTCTTCCTCCTTACTCTAATAAACCCAGGGAATGAACACTTCATTTAAGGAACAAGATTACTCCACATAATGTACTTGGCGCAAGATTGGTCTTTCAAAATTAATTATTTAGATGTTAATCTGGTATCAAATGTTAAGAATTTTAAAAACTGCAGAGCAAGAAACTCCTTTCACAAGACAAAGTTGACCAAAATGATGACAGCATTTTCCCTAGGACGTGTTATTTGTTGCTTTATAATAAACTTGTTAATACTACTCACCTAGGCTCTATATATCAGACCCTCTTCTCCCTCTGTTTGCAGACAGAAGCCCTGCAGATGGACCTTTTCTCCATAAGTCACATGGTCAGCTCCTAGAAACTGACCTACTAGCTATGTAACAAATGTCTTATTATGACCCCAGGAAGATAAACACGTACTTGAGCCTTTGTATCCCTTGGGCCTTTTTGCACAGCCAACCAGGTTGCATCAAGCACAGTTAATTTCAGCACAGCTTCTGAGGAAATGGAAATCTGCCACTACCAGCCATTTTACAAAAATGAAGCCCCTGCAAGACCTTTCAAAAATGTTCTTATAAAGACCTGTCCCAGTTTTTTAAGGGAGGTATACCTACACAACTGCCTTTACCCAAGCCTTAAATATTTACAATTTGTGTAATGCACAAAGATACTTGGGCTGCCCTCAAAAATTTGTACTGAATCTTTAAAGAGTTTGTCTCTTCTATAGGAACATCAGCCAACCGAGAGACAAACTTGGCAGAGACTCAAAACTATTCATCTAGGTCTAAAGAATTCACATTAAAAAAAAAAGTGATAAGAGGATGAAAAATCCATGGAATCCATGGAAATCAACTATTTAAATACCTGTCCGGTACAGTTCTGTGGCACCCCTGAAGAACCGGGGCAAAGCTGCCTCCAATAACATGATGAAGTCTTCAAGCTCTTCAGTAACTCCCACTAGGAAGTATTCATTAATCAAATTGTATTTGGCTTGTTCCAAAGCCCATCTGCTTCCCACATTCCTGAAATGACAGAGAACAATTACAGAAAGTTCTGATGTCAGCCAACAATCCTCGGTCCCTAGATGGAGATTACTTCATAACAGGACATTTGTATAGTAAAGGCAAGACTCATTTCAAGTTACAACCATTCCTAACTTTATTTCCCTTACCAGCTTCTCTCATCTGCGTTCTTACATAAAAATTTGACTCCTCTAGTTATTTTGACTAATAACTCATACACAATATAACCCATGTGTGTATATGGTTACTGTCTCAATGTAATTTTTGGAAGATTTACATTTTCTCATTGTCAATACTCAGTCTCCACTTTCACATTAGATTCTGGTAAGAACACGTCTTCTATTTTGCATCCGACAAACATAACTCTGAACTAGATGCATTTAATGGGAGGACTTCCCTACTGAATGACAGACAGAAATTAAACTGACACTTTTTCCTCCTCCTCTCTAGACAGAGTGAAAATATAGGTTCAGAGTTATTTCTTTCTCTGCTTCTCCAGCTGGCCCAGGCGTAGATAGGTCTGACCAACAGTCACTGAAAAAGGAGCTCCCAAGTGGCCATCTACTTTGATAATGTTTGGATGAACAGTACTTTGACAATGAATTGCCCTTGATTGCCCTCAGAATCCTTCAAATCACCTATGTCCTTTTTTTTTTTTGTTTGCTAAAGACTTTTTTGAAGTCTGTGCCATTGTTATAAAACACGCTGCACTGATAGATGGACACTGTTTGCTTTTGTTTCAGATTCTACCAAGTAGCGTTGCCTACTGCATGTCTGGTAAAGGACATATTGCTTGTTTGAAGAACTGCAAGATTGTTTCACTAAAATGCATCTTCAAAAGACAATACATTACTAAAGTACCTGCTGCTTCACTCTGTCCAGTCCCTCACACTTTCCCCAACTGTGCTACATATTCAGACTTGTTAAGTTTCAATTTCAGCACCGATATACTTGCTAACAACTTAAGCTACATTTATCTCCCTACCAGCATTCGGAGCTGTGGCCACAGAAGAATGGAATTTGAAGCCAAAGTTTCTCTGGAGCACAGTCTGAACCTCCAGCTGCTACACATTCATCAAAGGTCTGGAACAAAGACAAAATTGAGATGAGCTTTAAAATCTAGTATACGTATCAAACATCTCAACCTGGTTAGTTGCTAAATGTAACGGGGACAGAAAAACACAAGATATGATATGAAAGGAAAAAAAAGGTAATTTTTTCAAGCCTTGCTTTCACGGTGTTATTAGGAGGACCTACTTGTCTCAAATGAAGTAGCACTTGGACAGTTTTTTATGATTAGAACTAACGAACAATTTGATCTTACCCGATATATTTGATATAACCTTGATAAAGGCTATATGTCAAAACAAGCAAAAACAGTCAATAAGTGTTGGTATAATTATTTTTCCCTTACAAAAGAAGTCACTAAAGATACAGCATCAAATGCCATTGGGATTTGTGTCATACTGGAACTGCTGGATCTTTATACCACAGAACACTGCATTTTGTGGTTCAGAATAAACAATGTTCTATTACATTTTAGATATTATGACAAATAACTGCCATTTCAGAGGGTAACTTGGTTTTGCCAATCAGAAGTGAAAGCAAGTTGTTGACTGCATAACAGAATATTGCACACATCGCCCTATGTGGACAGAGAGCTGCTGTAACACAATTTCAACTGCAGTAACACACACAGTTACAATAAGAACTCTATTAGCATTGGAAAGAATTTGTAGACATTTCAGCCAGTCACCATAATGTAGGTATCATATTTGTAATCTAGATATAACCCATGTATCTAGGATAGATTTTTGTAAGTGATCACATAGACAACTTTTTAGATGGTTTCTTCTGTATAATTACAAATTTCTGTTCAAAACAGCTATGTAAAAATACATGTGCTTAATTATTTGGTGTTAGAACAAGGACAAGGTCTTCTGCTTCTGTTTTGAGGTGAATTTCCCAAGATAAACTGAAAAATTTAATGACATCAGGCCAAAACAGGGATTAAGCTGTGGTGTCTTGGTCCACATTGCACTTTTTGTTTAGAATAGCTCATACATGTCACGTATCACCGATAAAAATGGAGCTTAACTAGGAAAAGAAGATATTGGTATGCTTTCTCTAGCATAGTTCTCTAGAGAAATTCTGCACTGATCTATCATGAGTACTTTATAACATCAATATTACCTAAGAACTAAATTGTTTAAATGCACCTCCTAACTTATCAATGTATATGCTAAATATGAACTGGTATCTGTAAAAAAAACCAAAACCAAACAAACTAGAGATGCTTGCAGGACAAGTTGAATCTGTATGGTAACAACTAAGTTTCAGACCTAAATGCAGTTGTATAGTAGTGACAAAATTAAAAAACAAAATCTTTAATAGAAAAACATAAAATTATGAATGCAGTTTATTACAAACATTATGAACAGGAATGCATTTTAACTTCTTCCAGCAAATGAGAGCCTACAGTGCATTCTACCAAGCAGCAGCATTAGGGATTTTGGCTTAATGTTTCCCAGTGACTACCTAACAAGGCTGTTCAGATTATAATTCAAAACTAAAACACTGTTAAATTTCACTCTTTTTAATAAGTATTAAATCCTATAAACAGCTTGGCCTTGGTAGCATGCTCAGCTTCCCAACTCACTGACCTCCTCCAGGAAGGAATTCTACTGGCCAAATCATGCTCCTCATGAAAAGGAACAGAGAAGGTTACAAAAGATAAGATCTTATCTCTCTATTTAAAAACACCTTTATGTTATCACCAAATCATCTCTGTAGCCAGTTCTATGAAGATACATTTTTTAAGCTTCATTTCAATTTGTTCTGCTTGAAGCTTTCCTCTACCTATGCTGCAGGATGTCTGGATAAACTGAAATGCAGTAGCAGAAGATGGCGCCAAAACCTAAATAACAGAGGAGCAGTTAGCTATCAACTGGAAAGAGGAGTGGTCTGTTCCCAATATTTAAAAAACTATTTGGAGGGAGGGGAGCACACAAAATGATTAGTCACATTTATTGGTTGTTGTGGTGTTTATAGACTAAGCTGTAATTCAGTGTGATTTTTGCTTAGTTATTTTTTCATTGTCTCTTGGTATTCACACAGTGCTGTGCTAAAATTGTCAACATTACAGAAAAATGTTATCAGTTTAAGAAAATATTGACACTGAAATTTTAAAAGGTGTTTGGCTCTGCAAAGTACAAAACCTCCCTTACATTTTATAAAAGCTTCCACACTGTTCTAACTATAGTTTTATAAAGCATATTCATTTACTTAATACCCTACTTTTCTTTCTGATTTAAGAAAAGTCCAAAGCAACATGCTCCAACAAATATCTTACTGCAAATCGTGACAGCGGACGTACAAATTCATTCTAGAATAAATAAATTATGGAGCCTGAATGATGTTGCCGTTCTGAAACTATATGAGTAATCGAGGTTTGAATATGAAAACCTGAACTACTCCTATAACCATTTAAGACAGATGGAGGAAGTATAGAAATGTATGATTCATACTCCATAGTTTCCAAGCAGACTCTTTATAAAATACCTCTGCAATACATACATTAAATAAAGTGGGTTTCTAATTATAAAAGAGATAAACATCAAAGCCAACGCATCAGCAGTTCTACAGCTTTTGGCAAAAAATGTTTCTCTCGGTCTTCAAGAAGAAGAGATGTAATTTCTTACACAGGAGGATAAGCTTAACTTGATACTTACAATTCTGGATACCTGAATTTATTTATTTATTTTTTTTTTAAACAAATTGCAACATAAAGTGAATTCATGAGGTTCCAAAGAACACACTTAATGTTACATTCTGGTCCAGTTTGGACATAAAAGGGAGAATATAACTTACAAAACCACCATCCTCACAAGAACTATTCAGCTTTTATCGAGACATTTGAAAAACTTGTTTTCACATTAACTTTCACAAGAACAACACATATAATAAAGTGGACTTTACCTTTTTATCCCCCTGTTTTCGCCTCCGTAGCCCTGGTCTGTAATCATCTCCAAAGCGCAGAAAATAATAATAAGAAACTAGTCGTTCTATAGGATCTCTTATGACATTTATGTAAATTGGCTTCTTTTTAACACCAAATCTAAAGTAAAAAAGGAAAAAATGTCTTTTAAAGACAAAGATTCTCATCTAGTACTTAAAAGCCTGTCTCTATTGATACAACAGTAATCCATACACAGAGAAGATGATGGTGAGAGGAAGTTTAATGTCACGTCCTCTCATCCTCATATCCAGTGTGTCACATGGATGTGAAAGTCAGTTCCATTTCAGTTTTCCTAGGATTATGAATATAGGTTTTCCTATTACATAAACACAACCCCCCAAAATATTGTCACACAATAGACACTAAAAATGTTTATACAACCACCCTGACTCCAGAAATGCTTTAAGTAGTCTAGCAGCCACGTATGTGTTTATAGTAAGTACAAGGAAGTTTGGTATTGAGTGCCTGCCCTTCTGAACTGTGCTGTGCCACACTGCAAGTGGTTTTCCTGGCCAGTCTCCAATAGTCAGAGACATGAACTCTAACAGAAAGAATACAGAGCTCTGAGCCCATCCATTACCTGGGCGGAATCCATATGGCTATGCTTATTAAATATAAGCCTAAGATAGCATCTGTAACCACATTAACTTCTCTGTCTAAAGATAGAAAATTTTTCCTTAGACATTTACCCGAAGCAAATTTTGATTTACTGTGGTACAAACAGGAAGCTTGAGAAATGAAGCAGTAAGCTCATGGCAGACACAAGAAAGACTCAAACCACCAAATTGTTTTGTGCAAATGCCACCTTTCAATGATCTACATTCAAGAGAGCTTTTACAATACATTTCTCAGTTTTATTTTCTTTTCAATTTGAGACATTGCTGTGGCAAATAAATATGGTATCCAAACATTAAAGAGGTTATAGCCCAATGTAAATTGCAAGTGCATCAAGTGTCCTGAAGTAAAGCTAGTAGCTGGAAAATACCTCCCTTCTGTTCCCATGTAAACTGGGGAAGTGTTCTGCATTGACAGACGGCCATTCGAACCTCCTAGCCTGGCCAAAACAGACAGCACTCATAGTTTAAGATGCAGTACCATTATTGTTAAAGTAGTACTCTGTAAATTATAACACCAGATACTGCTCATATGAGAAATCTTGAATTGAAAAGCTGAGGAACAGAAAGACAGAATAAGTAGCAGAAAAGAGGAAGTTCAGAAAAAAGCACAATTAAAATGTATTACCTGGGCAAAAGGCCAGCATTACTGATACAGAAATTGTTAAAGGCTACAGAAAGAGCAACTGATTCTTCAGATGTTGCCAGAGGGGTACCAATGAATCAGACCGTAGCAGTTAAAGGCGGCAATGCTGACATCTGTCTGTATGTCAGTTCTTACCCCTCAAAGTCCTCAAAACAGGAGTGTGTGACTGTTTCAACCATTTTGATGCAAAGTTCAGACTCTGAACTGCACCCTCCTTCAGGTCTGCTGAAGTTCCTGAGACATGCAGGTGTGTCCCCTTCTACAGACTCTACTGCAAGTGCTGTAGAAGGCTGCAACAAACCATTCTGATGCAGCAGCAGCCAGTAATATGTATCTGTGTGTTAAAGGTGTCAAAGCTCTTGGACATGTTCATGCTGGATTGTACATTCATATGGATTTGCACGTGACCTCACAAAAGTAGCTTAAATTATGATAACATAAGCCATTTACTACAGTAACTTTATTAATAATGATAATGATTTGTCAACTGCATCATCAAAGAACTTTTTTCCCAGCTGTTTACCAGAGAAAGTATGGGATAAGGGTGGATTACAAAAAAAGAAAAAAAGAGGGGAAAAAGAAATTAAACTTTCATTACTCTAATTTCTACATAGATGGGTTATAGTAACCTGTCCTCAATACTGTCATCGATTGAATCCAGTACTTTAAGCTTCAGCATAATTTAAGAGGTACTTTTGCTCTTTGACAGTGGACTTAAATCTGATGTCTGCATATAAGCAGGCATAGACTTTTCTGAAATATTTTACACTTTTCAACTACAAAAATGTTCACTACAAGAACACACCTCACAGCCTTAGAAGTGTGGGCCTTGCCAAGCACAAGGTATTATTTTAATAATGAAAACCCAAAGTATGAGAAAGCAAGCTGTTGGGGGAAGAAATAAATCATTTAGGCAAAATGATAGCAAATAACAAACACAAGGATAACACAGTCCTGGCAGGAAGATGCAGATGAAGGAAATCTGTGAAACTGCTTACATGCTTTTTAGATGTAAAATAACTATTTTAGTTTAAAAAGTTCCAGTGTCTGAAAATGTTTTCAGCTTTATGAAGTGAGTAGTGTATAAAATAATATTCACCTTTGCTGCTCCAGAAAACTGTTATTCAGTTCACGAGTTTATTATAATAGCAGCATTTTAACTTTAAAAAGGCAGAAAGGAAGTTAATGAATTTTGATACATTTTATTTTACTAATTGATTTTCAATTAAGACTTCTTGCCTGTTACTTTTTGTAAACTTCAAGGTTTTACTTAGTGCTATTGTTAATTTCCAGCTGCTACTATAACTTTTAGCATTTTCTATTGTATAATATACTTTTCGTAGAATCTGTGAAGCTCTCAGTTCTCCTTCTCATTCTTTGTAATAATAGGTAGAATTAAAAATCAGTATACATAACAGAATGAGTAATTAAAAGTAATGATTCAACAAGAGAAATGCCTACATAAAAAAATCCCTCATTTCATTAAATAAATGTTTTAATTCACAGAAACAGGACATTACTGAGGACTGAGCAGCAGCAAGAGGTAAAACAAGTGGTTACTATTGTTTGTGCAGTTGAATATGCTGAGATCTGAAAAATCCACTTTCAATTTTAAACCATTTTCTGCATGCTGCAAGTGCAAGTTGAAGCACTGCCTAGGAAGCATCTTAAGCAAAACTGATTTGCCATTTCAAGGGTAGGTTTCATAAGACTGAGCTACTGAGGATCACTGCTTTAGATCCAGAGCAAAAATAAGACAAGAAAAGAAACACATGGAAGTGAGAAGACAGATAAGATCTTGAACCTCTGAAGTCACTGGGAGGATTTTACCTCATTTTCTTTTAAATTAATTTTAGAAGTAGCTGGATTTAACTCCACAAGAATTATTTCAATGTTTTTTACAGCAAGCTAAATTATTATAGGACAGCAAACTGCTTTAAAATATAACTTCCAGTATTTTGATAAAGTATAAAGGGATACTCTGATAGAGAAGAACTACATAACCTGGGATGCAGGTGGTATTACTTGTTATATGAAATATATTTGAGAACAGGTATCGTAACTTCCCAGAATGGGAAGCCAATCTTAAGGCAGAACTGCCACTGTTCCAGAGAAAAGCCATGATTTTCAGTACAAAAAGCTTGTAAATCAGACAAGAAATACTAAACCTAGCATACAAATAGTTTTGAAATGAGACCTGGACACATTTTATGATTCAAAAAGACAAGAGAAAACTGTGAAAATCAAAACCAAATAGTGTTTATCAAAGGAATTTGAGTGTGTGCATTTTTCAATACTGCAGCTGTCAGGCTTTGATCACTAGAGGGCACTAATATCCCAGCTGGATCCCAGCAACTGAAACTGCTGCGCTACTCATCAGATAAATCCAAGGGTAACGTACTTTGCAAAGTCCAAATAAGATATATGTCCATGGTAAAATCCTGGTTTCATTTCCTTCCAGGAAGTCACATTCTTCACAAATCGGACCTGTAAAAACAGACAGCAGAAAGTGTTTCTGTACAGCTGGAACACATTAAGCTTCCCCATAGGTGGTGTTTTCTGGTTTGTAAGTAAAATCTTCTAATGTATTAAAAAAAAAAAAGTCTATTTTGAATATTACAGAATAATTTGTGCCAGCTAAAGTAGCCTTCCCTGCAAGCATACAGATGACTCATTTTAGATAATCACAATTTAATAATCAGAAACTAAACAAAAGCAGAATACAGCTATCAGAAGGGTAATTCAAGGAAAGCTCCCGCAAAAACATTAGAAAGACAAACATTTAAATTTCTGTCAGTCCATTTCACTTGTAATTCGAAAGGAATGCAGAATTCTACCAGCAGTAAGTAGAAATGCAAGTACACCTTTGACAGAATTGTCTGATCTCTATTTAGTCTCTCAAATAAAACTGTACCAGATTTATAAGCATCTTCTCTTAGACCTATTTTACTGGGACATTAAGAAACAAATCTGGTTCATTTGCTCCCCCATCCCAAAATGCAATGCATAAATAATCAGAAATTTTATAAATATATACAGTGTAAATGAGATCTATAGTTGACCATTTTGAATAGATACTTTAAGCTTAACATTTCAGTGAAACTTCTATGTTAAAGCATGAAGTAGCCCTTAAACAAGGGCTGATAAAGCAGTTATCAGCAAACTGCACAAAAATAGGAATAGCTTTACATTTCAAAGATAAAACAAGAAATAAGATACACACCCTAAACTAGAAAGTATGATCAAATTAAGTGGGACATGCAAATCCTGATATAGCTTGGCTTTATTAGATGAACAGAATATTCTGACATCAAAGCATTAAACTCTGAAAGTTATTTCAAAACCAGTGAATTGGATAATAAAGAAAAGATGATAAATTTGTACTGCCTGAGCTGTCTGACAATGATATGCCATTTCTGAAGCTGAGAATTAGAAGATAGCGTTCCCTGCACATCTACAGTATCTTTTCTGTTATACAGTGACATAGATAACCATGAAGATACTGAGGTGAGACAAGAGAGTTGAAAAAGGAAACTTTGAGAGCACATGACAACACACTAACATTCTGTGAGGTCTAATGGATTTAGAGTGTCCTGAAACATGGTATTTATTATTTATTATAACCAACCAATTGAGGATTTTAAGAGGCAAGACTGGCCTGCTGCTGTTTCTTCAAATGTGCAAAACTTGCAGTCTAGGATTTAAGAGGTTGATAACCTTATTTCTTCAAACACTGGCTCTTAGACTCTCAGGTAAAAGAAATGGGTATTACTTTTTAATAACAGGCAGCATTCATTTTTTTCAGTGCACAAGTTTCACAGTCTATGGCATTTGACAATTTAAACCATATATTGCACATGAAAACTGCGGCAGATATAGTTGAAAAGTACTGTACGATGTTATACAATGGTGTTTCATAAACTGCATTGGCTTTCTGTCTGGTTTTGTCCACAGCACAAACTGAAAATGTATCTATGAGACTTTCAATCCAGTTGAACTACCTTTACTGCTACTGAAACAAACCACACTTCCATTGACTGCACCTTTCAAAGACTAATGACAAGATATTTTCAGTGGAGAGCCTCAGCTATGAATATTTCTATACCTGGGAAAGACATTTCCTAAATGCAAAGTATATATTATACTCCCTTCCCTCACCCCCAAACCTCAAAATGTCACACTTAGTTGATACAACTCCGCAAGTAAACCAGCCATGTTACCTATTGTGTGTAGCGCAGCACACATTTCAGTTACGTTTCCATGAACAAGCTTTCTCAAATCTAGCACCAGCTAGATTCCAGTTTCTAACAGACTAGGACTAGACAGGAAATGTTAAGTGCCAAATCCCAAGGGTCAGTTCTGTCTTAGATCCCCATGCCACCATCTGGCATCAAACCTTAGATGTTCCATTAATAGTTAAAAAACCCCCTTTATTGTCTTTGTCTTACAATGCCATTGCCTGCTAAGGAAATATTTTTCATCAACATAGGATGGATGTTCTAGCCTTTATAACTAACCCCCAGGTAAGCCGAGAAGGCTAGGAAGGTTTTGTAAGACAGCTGTGACATTTACTTCTGCCTTAAGATGGACCACTGTGCCCCTGAGAATTTAAGTTTTTAACACCTATAACTAGCCTGCAGGCAAGCAATTATTCCTCCTTCCCCGCCCCCGCCCCCAGTTTGTAGCATTCCAAAAATCAGAATTGTTCCAGGTCACAGACAGCCTAATGAGTCTGGATTCATACATTTTAGGGCAGAGATGAATATTTCTTGCTGCTTCATACTGTTAAATATGATCAATTTTACCTTTCTTTTCAGGGCTTAGCAGATACTGGGCTTTCAAGAGACCAAGCAAGCTTCTCCATCTGAACCCAACTGAATAAAATTTGAAGTTACTTTAGAAGTTCAGATGGACAGGGATGGAATTCCTGTGAAGCTGTTTCATGGTGCTTTTATATAATCAGCTACAAAAATGGTTCACAGCATTTAGTAAGTGAGAAATTGGTTGAGCTTCACTGAATGAAAAATCCAGATCGAATGTACTCTGGGGGTGTAAGATGTCCTGGAAGGTAAGTTAAATACCTTCAGTTTCTAAGACAATAAGAATTTAAAACAAGTCCCAGTGAGACAAAACAAACAGACAAACAAAAACAAACAAAAAAACCCCAACAAATCCAACAGCATAACTGGTCTGAGCAAAAAGCCCTTGGAAATCAGCGTGTGCAAACCCCAGTGATGTTGTAACCTGTCACCTCTGTCTACTAACTGCTTCCTTCAATCCCTCTTCTCCGCAGGCTGAACACACACACACACACACACACATACACACCCTCTGCCCCAAAAGCTGGTATGGTCACTACCCTGTGGCCTGGTAATGGATGGACTTTTGGATGCTAAAAAAGGCCCAGCTTTTCATGTCATTATATTCCAGTTTTGTTTGTCAATTGTTGAATAACTGACTTAAAATTACAAATAACTGGGGGGATGAATATCACAGCCTGATAAGATTTTCCATTTGCACTACAAAAAAAAAAGGCTCTTAATTAAGAATGAAGACCAACACAGCGTCTCCACTAAAGGAAATCTCAGACTCAGATTTAAAGACCGAGCATGATGGGATGACTGAATCAGAATCCCTCTGCAGGAAGGCACTGGTAGCTTAGCTATCCAAACTGTCATACAAGCTAGTAACTGATTGTTAGCTCTAAATCAGAGGGTTAGCAGTGCTGGGCACAGGCTAGCAGCACACTTTTGGCTGCATGCCATGAGAAACCACAAGCAAGCTCAAAGCAAGGGCAGCTAAGAAGCAATTTTGTGAGAAGGTGAAAAGACAAAGTTCACCAGTTCAGCCACAGCGCAGGCAGGATACCCGCCTCGCATGAACAGCTCTTTCTCAGAAGGAGAAATACAACTGGCACGTGTACAGCAGTGGCCACCAGTACTCACTAGGCCATCTAACTTGTTCCGCTTCTGACAGCCATTGAAACCTTCCCCAGCAGAGGAAATAAGTACTGCTAAATTCATTATGAGTGTGCTATCCTCTGAGAGGCCACTGTTTTAGAATATATTTGGAAGCAAGATTATATATTTTCAGGTTGCTCTTTTGAGAAAAATGAAAAGAGAAACTGTGGGAGAAAAAAGAACAAGGAACAGAAAACAGCAAGCTGAGGGAGTGAAATGCTGGGTAATTGTACCCTGGCTTTTCTATGTTCACAACAACAGTACAGACAATGTGTTCTCATACCCCCTTTTCAAATAATATATCAATAATACATGCTGCAAGACAGAACATTAATTTGGTTTTAAATGTTTCAGATGACAATTTCACCATGTAACAAGAAAGCTAAAGTGTGTGTGGTTGGTATGCCATCCAACTAGCTATAACAAAGGCAAAAAATATCAGTGCTGAAACATGCAAAAAACAAATAAAATCCAACCAAACAACTACTCTCATTTAATGAAAGCAAGTGTTTTTGTTACAGAACACACAGGTCAGGAATGCAACATGGGCAACGGCACTCAGCTTGCTGCAAAAAAAAGTCCCAACCTGTGGAAAGAGGGGAAGTTCCAGGATCCTGAACTTCCTGTTTTATTTTTTAAAATAATATTTCTTTGCTCGTCATGAGTGCACATGCAGGGTACCCAGGTCAGAGGTCTGAAACATCACTGTGTCATCATCCCTGTCTGTAAAACAGGGGAAGCTGCAAAAGAAAGAAGGGCTGCTGGGACAAGTTCCATCTGAAACTAAAATGGATGTGTTAGGGACTCTTATCAGATTATCTCAGATCAGATAGAGATTATATTTGGAATGGATTTTAAATAGGGGTTTTTTCATATTGCATTCAAGAAGTAAAGGTTTCACATATGGGCAGAAATCTGTTACAGAATTAAAGTAATCTGGAAGAAGTACAGAAGTAGTGCGTCATAGAGGGCTCACTATTTTACAAATTTATGTCAGGTCCAAGTCAATTTTCACCCTGCTTAGGGAGATTTGTTTTAACAAACAGTATCACTGATAAAACAATTTTGCCTCTATCATGTGTTTATGTTTTTTACTACTGGTGCATATACACCTAATGTGCTCAAGTCAGCTCTAATGATGAAGGTGGTATGTGAATATTCCATGCACATCCAAGCCCACGAAGAGTAAACCTACACCAGCTACTATGCAGCACCCTTGCCACCTCCAGAAGTGGTGACTTACAATGGCAAGTTGCCATCTCAATATACTAAAGATAATTATTTCTTCTTTGAGTGTGACTATGCAATATATAAATTTTTTTCATTGTCAGCATCTTCCAGTTAATGGCCACTGAAGAACAGGAGTATCAATTGTCTAATTAAACAATATAATTTACCACCTTGGACAACAGCATGGTGTCAAATGAAGGTAGGACTGTGATAGCATGGTATCAAATGCAGGTAGGACTGCCAGTATTGTATACATGCCCAGCACTGATGGATTTTCATTTTTCAATAGGGAAAAGGAATATGAGGGGGAGAGGTTCCCTTAAACAAAAGTAAACCAGTAAAGAACAAATTTTATTTGAATGAAATTAAAACAAAAGTATAAATTTAAGGCAAGGTTACCTATGTTTAATTTATACCATCAATGACTAGCTCTCCTACCCTTCAGGACAGACCACTAAAATTCAGAGACACCGTGACAGAAACGGAATCTGTGGTTGGAAGTGAAGCACTATGCATGACTGAATTGAGCAGTATTTTTAATTAACAGATATAGGCTTGTTAAATATTCTGAAAAATCACTGCTGTTGGTGCACAGGTCTTTAGTACTCATTCTATGCAATGGACAGGACTATAGGGATGGCTACCAAATTTAATCACAGAATGTTGGGGATTGGAAGGGACCTCGAAAGATCATCTAGTCCAATCCCCCTGCTGGAGCAGGAACCTAAATGAGATCACACAGGAAGGCGTCCAGGCGGGTCCTGAATGTCTCCAGAGAAGGAGACTCCACAACCTCCCTGGGCAGCCTGTTCCAGTGCTCCATCACCCTTATCGTGAAGAAGTTTCTTCTCAAGTTTAAGTGGAACCTCCTGTGTTCCAGCTCACACCCATGGCCCCTTGTCCTATCATTGTTTGTCCCTGAGAAGAGTCTAGCCCCATCCTTGTGACACTCACACTTTATATAATTATAAACATTAATGAGGTCACCCCTCAGTCTCCTCTTCTCCAGTAAACGTGTATGACACTATCACCTTCCTATTTAGGAAAAGATTTCACAACACCAAAACCAGCAACACAATCTCACCATCACAAAACCAGGTTCCCAGTCCCACACCAAGTATACTCTATGTCCTCGGCACTGAGATCCCCACCTCAATCTTCCTCCCACATAGAGAACTGAAAGTGGAGAGCCTGTTACCATCTGTTTACTCTTGCCCCACTCCAGCACCTGTACTGAGCTGCTTCTGCCTGTAGACATGCACTTAAAGGAGCTGGCAGCCTCAGTGCTGACAAGCTGCAATGCAGAACAGCTTCTGCCTCTGCTGCATATCAACTTAAGATGATCAGCATACAACCAGTAGTATATACCTGAGAGTTTGGAAACATCTGTTTTACAGACAGGGATGATGACACAGTGATGTTTCAGACCTCTGACCTGGGTACCCTGCATGTGCACTCATGACAAGCAAAGAAATATTATTTTAAAAAATAAAACAAAAAATCTACTCCCTCATCATACCCCACCACATGCCAAGAAAAACAGAGCACTGATCCTGCATTATATTTTCCTAATACACATCATCTGATACAGTGGTCATTACAATAATTTCTAGCCTGGGACTGCACTGATTTTAGTGAGAGCTTTAAGTGGATGCAAAGTGACCCATCCTTTAGAGTGTGAGCTATTTACAACCACTTCTGCCTACCTGTTTTTATCACCTGTGAGACCTGACCAGATCTAGTACCAGAGACAGAAGTATAGCCCTGACAGCATGGGACAGTGCCTGAAGCGCTACTCATGAGAAGAAATCACATAAGACTGCATTCACTGCAGATGGAGATGACAGGCAAATACTATTACACAGCCAAAAGGCAGACAGTTGACAATACAATAAACTTTTACAGTTATAACAACAAATGTCATTTCTGCCCTAGCTGCTTCCCTTTCTAGCTTTTTTTTTGTCTGATAACCTGATAAGCAGATACTTACCACCTCCAGTGGCCCAGCAAAAAATCTAAACCTATTATTTAATAAATAATATTAATTATCTACAAAGAAAATATAAACATATTAGAATTCATTTATATTGAAAAATGTGATATAAAACCCAATCCCATCAGACCATATAAGTTTGCAATAGCAAAAAAGTTTCCCCTTATTTAATAAAGGCATCTCAAATTCAGCAGCTTACCTGATCTTGCAGAGACATAACAGGATTATTTTTGGTTGTATTGATATGTAGAACATGATATTTGTTCTTTGCACAAAGATCATAGGCAATATTTGTAAAGGATGTGCTGGCAGTCTTAGGTACTCTGTTGTAAATAATCACCACATCATCATCTTCATCCAGTGTCACATCTTGTCGGGGGCCATCTACTGTATGACGTTGTTCTATTTCTCTGACTTCATGTCTTGCAATAGCCCTTTCTGTTAAGGATGATAAATACACAATTTTGATGTAAATATCACCAATTTTGAAGTTCAAACCATAGAATGCAAATATCCTGGTGAAAAGCAGCAACTACTCAACAATAAAGGAAACACATGCTATCATATATATTTCTGACACATCTGAAGCAAAACATAATCTATAAAAAGTATGAATGATAAAAGGTGAGTTAGTCTGACACAGAACATGAAGACTAGAAAACAATGTGCTCAGAGAACACCTATTGTATTCTATGACTCATATTAATGTTATTGAAAACCATCAACTCTGAAGAAAAGGGTCTACAATGCACTATCAAAATGGTGACATCCTCAAAATATCCCAAATTATTTCTATAAAACACCTGTTTAAACCTGAAAACAGCAGAAATACTAACACGGAGATTTAGTCAATTAACTGTATCAAGGCACTGAAATTCAGATGAAACCTTTGTTTGCTATTTCAATTGATATAGGCTCCAGGTGTAAAGCATTACAATAAATGGGTTTGCAAAAATGCAATTAGATTTATTAATTTAAAGTTTGACAAGAATAGAAGTAAGGTGCTTACGAAACAGTTAACAATAAGGTGAAGAGTGATGTCTGAGTATTGAAATACATCAAATACATCAAAAGAAAGAAACATGGAAAAGCAAGCTATGAACAAGACATTTTGGCAAGGTGAGTACATTGCAAATAAACCATTTTTCCTTTTATACAAAGGGCAATACACTGAGTAATTGAACTCTGCTTCAAGTGCTAAAAGCCTATTTGGAAAATAAAAACCACAGTAGCTGCTGAATTTCAAATGCTATGTGCTGATTCAGACACAGCTTTGTTCTGTTCTAGATAAGTATATACATTAATACGATTTGTAATACAGATGTCAAAGCATCTTTTCTGATTCATTTATTGTGATATTGCCTTTAATGATGTATTGGAAGAAATCTGCGTTGGCCAACAGCGCAAGCTGAAGTCAGTACCACAAGAGTAACCTGTAATTCTCTGTATTATGTTCTTACACAAGGTATTGCTCTTTCTGGATTACACGCTTCTAACAGCAGCAGCTCTTGGCCTTTACTTCCCTTGCTTTCTGTAACCCAGCTCCTTCTATTCTTTCACCACATCTCTTTTAATTGTAACATAAAACCACTTTTAAAGTAGAATCATTAAGCTGTGAGCACCACTAGCCTGTAATTCCACATAAATTGTCTTCAACCACAAACTTCCATCTGTCTGAAATGCTTCAAAGCTTAAGCTCACTCACTCTCTCATATGCTCGTACCTCACACCCCATAACTAAGTTACATCAGTATGAAAATGTTTGTAGAAAATGCTTATTGAGTATATCTCAATTTTCCACATGACATCTGTTGCTCCCCACTACATCAGTCACAGTTTTTGCTCCTTCCTTTCTCATTTGCTACCTCTCCCATCACTGCTGGCAAACATCCTGTTTTGGAAAAAGATGAGGCACCAGACTCGGGTTTCATCTATCTGAAGATGAATACAACAAAAAGGGACTGGCAACTCTCCCCTTCCTGCCAGGAACAGATTAGAGGAAGCATTTGGTAGGGGACATAGTTAACCACATGGCTGCCCAAGGCTACATGGATACTGAATACCACCTAGAGAGGCTGAAATGAAACAAATTTAATTTGTATTTTCTACACCAGAGTAGCAGATCTCAGCTAGATTTGAATTGTAACTGCGGAGAACCCCAGGGCTGGTGAGGCTGGCTTGTGCAGAGGGAAGCTTCCCCTTTTACATGTACGAAGTAAACATTTGTGAGAGACAGACATGATTTGCAAGAGGAATGATAAGAAGTTCTCTTAATGAGGTATTGAAACCATGATGATTCAAGAATTACTGTGATAAGTGCACTTTAAAGGCTATGCATAATATATAGAAGACATATGATTAGATGCAATTAGCAGAAAGGCTATTGCATACAATCACCTTCAATTTTGTAGGGTGAGGGGAAAGCAAGAACCCATGCAAGGAGGAGAACCTTCACAAGTGTGAAGTACACAGACAGTTCTGTTATCAAAGAACAAGAAGCCTTTAAATTTCAAATTAAAATGAATATTAATCTTTATGATGAAGAACCAAAATCACCATTTTGAAATAACTGCAACAGTAAAAAAACAAGAGATGAGATGAAGTGCAAGATACAAACTGCTGAAGTGCAGGGGAAGCTAAAGCTGGCGAGAAGCAGGGGAAGCACTTGAAGGTTGAAGGTATCTAACCTGGTCAGCCATCTTAACAGCCTGTTTCGTTGTAGTCTATTAATAACACAGCAAGGAAAACTGCAAGTTTTGTAAAAGTGTATGTTTTTTCCCAGTCATGAACAGTTTGTAGTTTCTCCTGTAAAGTCAGGAAGCCTTTTTTATTACTTTCTGAAAAGTCTGTCTAACTCTTAAAACACATGATTTGATCCATATGAATTTTATTTATTTATTTATTTGAGGAGGAGGAAGAGGCCCAGTAACGGTAACATGCAACTGAGAACAGTCTTTGGGATAACTAGTTAATCAGGAGTTAGAGAACCTGAGAAGTTGATGGGCATTTGATTAACTACTTCATTTGCTCTTCTATAAAATTTAAATAATCCTGGAAGTAAAAGTATTGTAATGGTTGAAAAATTAACATTGCTTATATGTTTTTAGAAGTACAGTAGAAAACGCAATGTATGCTTTAATGATTTTTTACATGTAGAATATAGGGAGGAAGAAGATGCTAAGTATACGTATTTATTAAGTATATTTTGTTCACCAAAAATCTTCTTAGATGACAGCCCTGCAAATTTAACTTTGATTATGAAAACTTGTGTACATAAGGTTGGATTGGTTTCAATGAAATAATTTTTTTAAAAATAATCAGGTTAATTTCTTTCCTGTCAGAGATCCTGTGGACAAAATGATGTCCTACAGTCTCACTGCTTTCATGGCATTCTATTTAAACTTGATATTCTAAGAAAAACATTTAGTAAAAATTATTAAGAGCCAAATGTCTAAACTGGGTTAAGGCTGTCCACACAAAGTTTGACACTAATTAACTACATCAATTTAAAAAGATAAGCAGCATTTAAGCAAGTGGTACTTTGAATACGAGACAGATATACATAGTACTGTAACACAGATAATTTTAAGGCATAAGATATTCTGTCTCACACTTTTTTATTACTGCCTGTTTAAGTTCACAGTAATAAATAATATAATTACTATACAGTGGGGGAAAATGCTGTTCTGTCATCTGCAGTGGTCCTATGTCCAAACTTTCATCAACTGCAAGGACAGTTTGCACACAGGCAGTAACACGTATGACCAGAGTAACAAACGTTACCACCTTGGTTATTTACCAGTAGATTAATCACTTGCAGAAAGTCTTCAGTTGGTAGAAGTATCTGTTTTGTAAACAATGGAACAAGTTTATTTTCTCACCTATTTGCCTACATGTTCTTCAAAATTCTTTTACCCCATTTCTGTAAGAGTCAGCATCCTCACATTCCTTGAGCCATCCTCAGGAAATATCATGGCAAGTAACAGGTGGGTTTGCCAGTCAGATGCTACCGGAAAATAACATGTAATGGGCAAGGTATCTCTTCTCCTTCAGCAGAAGCACTAATAGCAACATTCAATCTCTATGCCACCACTGACTATAGAAAAATTCAAAATTATTTATCTTCAAGATCACTGCCCTTTCAAGTCAAAGCAGTTTGTCAACAAGTTTAAAAGTTATTAACAGGAAGAGAAATGGACAGATGAAGTTTGATTGCCTAGCCCTATTTTGTTAGGATCTCAACTAACAAGACCACATGTGAAAATGCACCAGATCCATACATACTTACAAAAATATTTGAAAACCCAACTGAATATTTACATAATTATAGAAACAAATCACCCAACTGAACAATATTTAAATAATTATAGAAAAAAAATAATCACTGTGATCATAAGCAGTTATTTGTCTACATTCCTTGCACATTCAATCAGATGAATGTCTTCGGTAAAACAAGTTTATTAGCATTTACTTCAAATCCAAGTGTTAACTGCATACAAAATATTATCTTCCCAAACAAAATACTATGTCATAGATTTTAATGACTTAAAGGTTAACAAAACCAAACATTTCAAATTCCTCACATTTTTCCCAAAAGCACAAGAACCTTCTGGGACTTCTTAACAAGAAAACCTATCAAAACCAGAAACTCTTCTTTTCCCCATAGCTTAGCACTTACCACTCTTGATGAAGGACACGCTTTGAGCCTTGCTGGCTGTCAAAGTTAAGTTAACTGAGTATCTGGCAGAGTAATTCAGAGCATACTGCTCTACTTTCCCAAACTACGTTCTTTGTCCTCTATGCCTATTTTCCTCCTGTATGTATCGATGAATATTACTTAGGCTTTCTCTTCAATGTGTCTTATGCACATACCATGCTTCCTTGTAAACCTCCCACTCAAATGAGGAAAGGCTCAGTCTTAAAATAAATTTTAGCTCCGCAGACTTCAAGCGCTGCCCAACAGAAGAAAAAGATGTGGATTCAAACTTCACTTACACTGACTTGATGAGAAGGAACTGGACAGCTAGTATTGATAGCACCATCCCTGAGCAAGCAGTTGCTGTATATCTATGATACTGGATGTCACTTCAAACCAATAAGCAGGTTTCTTACAGGTGGGAACAATACTGAAGCCAGCTGACTTGGTCTCTCAGCTTTCTTTCCACTATGCTCCCAGGTCATTTAGGCAAGCAGCTGGTAGCCTGGGGCACTGAGCAGCTCTCAAGCTGTTTCCCTGCCCAAAAGCTGCATTAAACACAACTGGCCTAAATACTGAACCAGAGCAGGACAATACACCTACTCACTGTTGAGTCCATTCTCCTCTGATGAAGAATTAAAAGTGAAAAACAGCTCAAAAATGAGCCATAATTACACAGCAGAGTTAGTGTCCTGATTCATTTTCAAATTATGTACACCCACCATATACACACAGCCTTCAC